TATTAGAAGACGTGACACCCACTCATCGATATGCTATTTTACAAAAAAAGACATATATTAGTAACTTACATAAATTTTTTAAAAAAATAATCAAATTGAAATATAAGAAAAATATAAGACTTACCCCTCCATCGAAATAGCCATTGTCTTCGACCCCTAATAATACGCCCCACCAAGACCGATCAAGCAACAAATAGATATCATCGTTGAGCTTACATATGTCAGTGAAACACCCCTGGCTCCGTTCATGTAGATAAAAATCAATTGCGGTCTTAGCCCAAAGGGTGTTATCCAGAATTGTGTCCGGTAGTTGTCTCCTCTCCACTTCAGATATCGGAATGGTACTGGCCGGTAACTCATACGAGAGCCAACTATCATCCATCATGTCCGGCTCGTCAGAGGGTTTCTCAAGAATCTTACATATGACGCCATGTGAATCGAGCTCTTGAATGGTGGGAGGGACCTCTTCAACGATGACAGTGGCCTCTTGAACGGTGGGAGGGGACTCTCGAGGAATGATAGGGGCCTCTTCAACGATAGGAGTGGACTCTTGAGGGATGACAGGCGAGTTGGGCTTCTTCTTGCGGTGTCTTTGCACTATTGGGGTGTACGGAGACTTAATAGCACGTGCACGCCGTCTGAATACGTGAACTCTGTCGTGCAAGAAAAACCCGACGTAAAGCATCCACCTTATCGGGCCGCTAAATAATTAAATACAAAAATCAGTAAATAAACAGACATGATATTTAAACAGTGAAAACAAAAACAAATATGTTTCAAACTTGCATTGAATTCACCCAAGTCATTATTCTATCATAGTTCACAAAATGCATCAGATAACAAAGACAAATATGTTTTAAACTTGCAACACTGTCAACTTAGTATTTGTCTTTGTCTATTGGTTGAAGTAATGCAATTCATTCAAGTTTCAATTTGCAGAAGAATAATAGTTTCTGGAACTTAAAATCGCAACGTGAAAAATGACTATCGCAACGCGAAACGAAAATCGCAACGAGAGAATCGCAACACGAAATGAAAATCGCAACGAGAGAATCGCAATGCGAAATGAAAGTCGCAACGCGATTATAGTTTCGCGTTGCGGTTTTTGGTTTCGCGTTGCAATTCTCTCGTTGCGATTTTCATTCTCTCGTTGCGATTTTCATTTTAACCAAAAGACAAAACAGTGTTGCTAAAATATAGTTTCAAGAATAAACTATTTCTTCTTCTTCTGCAAATTGAAACTTGAATTGATTGCATTACTTCAACCAAAAGACAAAACAAAGACAAATACTAACTTCAGAGTATTAAAGAATACACAGTTTAGCAGAATTGGCAGCAAACGAACAAATTTACTTTCAACCAAAAGACAAAACAAAGACAAATACTAACTTCACAGTGTTAAAGAATACACAGTTTAGCAGAATTGGCAGCAACCGAACAAATTTACTTTAACCAAAAGACAACAAAAGACAAATACTAACTTCACAGTGTTAATAAACAGTTTAGCAGTATTGGCAGCAACCGAATAAATTTACTAAGCAATCTAAGTGAAATGGTTAATCTAAGTGAAATTACGAGTAAATTTATCATCAAGTTAAATATGGAAAATCTTAAACTTATCTCGTTGCGTATAATATGAACCTCATTCTGCAACGATACTACCATCTCACGTAGAGCGGCAACCTCACCACGTAAAGTAGACACCTCCACACGCCATGCACCATCGTTATCGCGTAGAGTATCGATCTCCTCACACAAGGCATTGACCTCATCACGTAACTCCCTTGACTCATCCCGTGGAGGTGGAGGTGGAGAACAGGGAGATAGAAGTCATGGATCTTTGCCGGTCGCCTATCATGAGGTGATGGTGGAGAATAGGCTCAATGATGTGACGGGATAGGTGATAGCTCTCATTGTAGAGGTGTATAGTCGGGTCGATCAGATGATGGCTCTGGGTGAGGTGATGGCTCTCGAAGTGGAGGAAGTGGAGGCTACTCATCATTCGTGCCATCAAGAAAACACTGACTAGCTTGCCACCAATTAGTGGCAAGCTCAGCCTCCGTGGATGTCAGTCTCATTAATGGAGTGTTGGCCTCCTAAAAATATAAAAACTCAAACAAAGTTAAACGTCTACTATTAATAACTTGTTTATATATGATAGTATTTGTGTTAACTTACATTATTTATTGTCGCATATGGTATTAAGTCTTCCCAATCCAACAGACGTTTCCTCTTCCAGGAAATAGCCCTAGGAATATCATTTGAAGTTTTTAATGCATATGTCCGCATGCTGGGGAAAGCCTCGAATATCCAAATCTACAAACAATATAATAACAAACATTAGTAATTGTTAAATAATTAATTGTAATTTTGAAAACATTATATAGAAATTCTTACCTTAAAGGCCCAAACAAAGCCTGACAAAGTGTATTTCGACCCATCGCCACGCAAACTTTTGCGGTCATCAAAGGCAGACAACAACTTAGTCCAGGTAGCTTTCTATATATACGAACCCCACGGAAACAGATTCCATCCATTTAGGTCCTCTACCAATAATATTAGCTCGTAAGGAATAAGTTGTCTGGCCTCTCTGCCTAAAAAGCCGGCATACAAAAGTACTAGAAGGCATACTCGGACAACATCGACGTCATTCATCCGAGTAAAACCATCTTTCTTATTAAACAATTTCTTCAGGTCGTCGACGTGTAAGTTCGGCTTCTTTATTGACTCATCAGAAAAAATCATGGATAACGATGATGGGCGGGTGATATGACGAGTGTACCGGCCTACATCATCGTGTCCGAATCGTAGACCAGTGATTAAGCAGAACTCCTTCCGCCCAAAATAAATATACGCCGGTGGAAAATGAAACCATATTCTTCCTCACCACGTTGTATACTGTCGGGTAGATCGCTAGTCATGGTCTGAAGCCACAAATGGGTCAAATTAGCATCTCCACCCGGATGATGTACTCTCAGCCATGGCCCGAAACAGGTTTCCTCAAACAATTTTCTTTGTGCAGGTGAAAGCTTCGAAGCAATTGTAGTGGCTAGGCTAACTTTATTCCTTAATGTCAATGAAGCCGAAAAAAATTTCTACAAAAACAATAAACATACCAAGTTAGATATACCAAAAACTACACTGTGAAGATATACCAAAAACAATAAACATAAATAGTAGTTTATTCTTGAAACTAAAATTTGTAACACTGTTTTGTCTTTTGGTTGAAATGAAAATCGCAACGAGAGAATGAAAATCGCAACGTGGAAATGACTATCGCAACGAGAGAATCGCAACGCTAAATTAAAATTGCAACGAGAGAATCGCAATGCGAAATGAAAATCGCAATGTGATTTTGGTTTCGCGTTGCGATTATATCGTTGCGATTTTCATTTCGCGTTGCGATTCTCTCGTTGCGATTTTCATTTCTCTCGTTGCGATAGTCATTTTCGTGTTGCGATTTTCATTTTCATGTTGCGATTTTACGTTTAGAAACTATTATTCTTCTGCATTACTTCAACCAAAAGACAAAACAAAGACAAATATTAACTTCACAAGGTTAAAGACTAAACAGTTTAGCAGTATTGGCAGCAATCGAATGAATTTAATAAGAAATCTAAGTGAAATGGTTAATTTATTATTGAAATTACCAGTAAGCTTATCATCAATTTCAATATGAAAAACCTAAAATAATACAAAAATTTCAAAATAAAAATAATTAAAAAAATTAACCCTCGGAGGTTGATTTTCCATTTCTGAATGATTGTGAGGGATTTCTGACCGTGAATGGTTGTGAGGGATTTCGCCGGAGATGGGGACGGAAATCTTCGGAGATGGGGACGGATTTCGCCGTAGAGAGTGAGAGATGGAGATGGGACTGAGTTGTGATTTTAGGTTTTAGGTTATGAGTTGCGATTACGGGATATACTGTGGATGGTTCAGTTTCCGATATATTAATATATTCGTGTTTGGAATTTGAAAAAAACAATACGCGTTAATACGAATGGCGCTATGTAAATCGCATTGCGATAGTCAGATTCGCATTGCGATTTCCCAAATTCGCGTTGCGATTTTCCTAATTCGCATTGCGATTTACGTAATCGCATTGTGATTTACATATTCGCATTGCGATTTTCCGAATTCGCATTGCGATTTACGTAATCGCGTTGCGATTTACGTATTCGTATTACGAATTTGGAAAATCGCAATGCGATAGTTAGAATCGCGTTGCGAATCTAGAAACTGATTTGCGATACCGGAGATCGCGTTGCGAATTATCGATCGTATTGCGATTTAATTGGTCATTTTGGCAAATCCAAAAAAAATTGATTAAAATCGTATATTATAAGGCATCTTTTATCACTGAGGTTATTTTCTATTTTTATAATTGCTGTTTGTGAAACCAAAAAATTATTAGTTGGATAACTTAGGAACCTATGGAAAGAAACAATTGCTTGACTGGCCAACCAACTCATTTTCAGTCTAGAAATTATGGAAGAGCTAAAAAAGAACTCAATGATGGTACAATTTGTTTGTATGTAAATCACAGCTGATATGTTATACTACCTGTAATATGTACCCATAGTATGTGAATCAGTACGATTGTGAGTTCTTTCAAACAAGTATTAATACGCCTATATCATTGTTGCATATTCACGTTGACTACAAGAGATACGTGGATGGTGACCTTCGTGAATCTTCAAGGTAAGGGAATGGAATGAGATTGCCACTAGGCTTTCTTCAAGGTAAGGGAATGGAATGAGATTGCCACTAGGCTTACGATGTTATAGATCATTCATTATGAAAAGATCTAATATGTCAGTCGGATATTTATTCAAATTAAATCATATTTTTATATACAAAGAGTTTATTATATTTATAACAATTTAGATTGGTGTTCATTTAATTAGAATGAAAAATTACTTAAAAATCATTCTCTGAACCCAAATCAACCCTAAATAGAAAATCTTAAATCCATTAAACCATAGAACCCCCCAAAATACACACTCAACTAATACAACCTCTCTTATTGAAACCCAAATCTAAGGTACATGCCCTCGTAAGTTTGCAACATTTTTCACTCAAAATTTAGCAACAACATAAATCTGAACCAAACCACACATGTTTACAACTATTTCAAGCCTGCATTTACTGAAATTAAACTTGTTTCTGCAAGTACTTTATTTCATGTCCCTTGTTTCTAATCTACAACTTGTGAATGGTTTCCATGTCAATTACTTCCTTCAGGTTCCCTTTCTCAACATGATCCCACCACTTGAACAAGAAATTTTCAACCACCAGTCTGAACCACGGCGACAGTTTCACTTCACCACCATCCGCTTTCTGCAGTAACTCCTTCAGTTGATCACGGTTCACGTATTTTGCATCTGCTACCTCATCCGGATTTGGGTGAACATTAACATCTCGGACAATGAATAGGAGGTAATCAACTGCACCATAAAGAAAAGGTTCATACAATACCCACAAAATCAGGTCAACAAAAAGATGTGAAACGATTGCAACACCAGCTATTGAAATGCATAATTTGTAAATTGTAACAACTTTCCCTTGAATGCAAATCTCAAAACTGTTTTTGCAGTTAAAAAAAGAAAATAAAAGAAAGCTTAGGGCAGAATGTTATGCAGAGAGAGTGGAAGTATTACGTTCATGCTCGCCCCATTTTCCGTCAGAAGGTGCCTTGTAGAGCATGCGACCCAGTGGGGTGAATTGATCAACGGGAACATCTTCAGCAGGAATGCCAAGTTCATCCAAAAGCTTCCTTTGGGCAGCATTCCTCACCCCTGTGAGTAGATGATTATTAGAAAAGGAAATAGGAAAAAAATTATCGGTCATATCAGAAATAAAAAAGGTTTTAACCGAAACAGGTGTAGAAGAGGAGGTATATACCAAGATGATTCTCTGGAATAAGCTCCGATTCACGATATAAAGGATGGCTGCAACAGGTGTTGGTCCAGACGAGAGGAAATGTAACCTTCGTTGCAGATCGTTGCTGCCAAAGTACCCAAAAGGAAAGACGTGTAAAGAAAACTTTCCTCCTCAACTATTTACAAAGCACAACTATTGTGCATATGCATTGTATTCAATGTCAAATCTGGCACCAAATTAGAAATAAGACTATAGAGAATGTTAAAGGGTAAGATTTAGATAAAGAAAGGTGATAGCTACTGCTAAGAGCCTGTGACCTGTGACCTGTGACCTGCGACCTGCGACAATATCCAATTTCACCGTATTTCTGTTTTATCTTTCTCGTATTTTTTTAATCACCCATTCCGAAGTTAAAAGCAACTGGTCATATAAAACTTGACTTCATAGTGATCAACCTGTCCAACTTACAACTACACTTACCTATTCTCTTTTTACTTTGGAGTTTAGATGTCAAAATCACAACTTCAATGAACTAAATGATAAAAAAAATGAGGTGATTACACTCACACCTCGTTTAACTGGTTAGTCTAATAGGATGAGGAAAAACTTATTTAATACATATGTGGTAAAATAGATGTAATAACAGTAGTACTAAAATAATTCACTGTTTGATAGGAAAAAATGTTGAATAAGTAGAACTAAGCTATTACATTGTGAAATGTCACTTTGTTCCTTGATGAAAAGAAAAAATCTAATAATTCAAATTTTATTTTTCATGACTTGTAAAATATTTTTAAAGTTTATTTTATAATTATAGTTCTAAGATTCATTTTTTTCCAAAAATGATATCTTTATTGAATAAATTATTTTATGGAGATAATATCTTGAAAAAAAATTGGAAGTTGAAATTATTTTGTGGAGAAGGAAAAAGTCATTGAAAATTCGTTTTTTTGAGCAAGGTGACTCTTGAAAACATAAAATAGAGGAAGGAGAAACTCTTGTATAGAATTTATAATCTCAACAAGTGTAAAAGGTTTTCCCCAAGTTAAGGAAAATAAGGTCATGATTTCTTAAGTGGTGCAATAGGTGTTGGGTTGACTTTTACAACCAAAACACTGGCTAGTGCTAACTAGCGTGCTTAGAAGCATATTATAATTTTAAGACTCTACTAAATGAGATGTCAAGGCATACCTTATCGGCTTCATATGGCATTATAATGCCGAAGTTTGAAAAAATAACAATTCTAAATATCTCAACAACCAATATTTTATTGTTTACCTGGAGGAGTAACTCATATTTTGTGTTAAACAAAAATACACTGAATGCCCTATGCAGCATCTTTCCAGTTAAAATATTTTCCCACAAATGACCTGTAAATTTTAAAGATGGTGTTAAAAGTGCAGAAATAAAGGAAATATAGTGAAGACATTGATGACAGTAAAAAAAAAAGCCAAGAGACATCCTTTAATACCCATAATGCAACATAAAACACAATCTACAAGATCCAAATTTATGCCAGAGATTCAAGCATTTCTTTGATCTTCACTTCTTAAATCACAGGCAGAATAAAGGGCCTACATGCAAATGAAGTGATTCATCTTATAGCCTAACGAATAAACACAATAATTTTACACAACAAAAGTTATTGCGAAATTTTGGTGCCAAAGTATTTTTCAGATTTTACAAAAGAAATTTAAAAAACATCAAATGAATTCTCTTTCAACAGGTGCAGCCAATTGTTCAAAGTTCCACTGTAGTAAGAAAATTTTATAAACGAGCTTCTCCATCCTATAAAATTTGAAAGATAATAACTGGGCCCACTGTATATGAAAGTCGGTTTCAAATGTAACAGCAGATCATCATCTCCCTTTCAACACCAAAACAACAGTAATATGATTTCCACTGGTCAAGATAATTTGCCAACCGAAAAGTATTAACACTTGATGAATAAAGCAACAAGTAATATACGTCAATCTCAACATCAATAGAGAGGATCGAAGACAAAAAATATCAAATCAGGACTGAATTCATGCAGTTGTTGCACATTTAATATTCATATACAAAATTTTGCTCGTAGGAGAAAACTGAAATTAATAAAATATTTGGGATACAATAAGGACATGTAACTTCCTGATATCCTTCTAAACCTACATATAAAAGGAGCGTTTTCTTTACCACTTATGGAAGCCGTAAGAAATTTTACCAGCTTTCATTTCAACTGTTTTACAACAGATACAACATACTCAATCTTTGTTACTAGGCATGGCCACCACAGAAAATAGAGAACAGAGGTGCAAATACTATAATATTCCAAACAAGAAAATAAATTCAGAGGAAATACATATAAATAATAGCTAGATCAAGAAAATGTCATAATTAAGTTAATAACTACTCTTATGAGTGAATGATTAATATAGCTATTAAGTCATCACAATAAAAATAATTTCATTGCACGATTAGATTATGCCTTATGCAGTCAAAATGAATGCATTGGACTTTAGACACGTGTTAAGTATGTGTCCGAGTGTGTGTTTGAGCATATTAAATTTAAAAAGACAAAAAAGATGATGCAGGCCAACACTGCTACGACCCAAGGAAACTGCATCATAGGGATTTTCTGCTTACAGTTGTACTTAGATTCATGGCCAACAGCATTGTCACTCTCGTCCACTAAAATACATCTGCAAGAAGTTTGAAGCAAAGGGATATGTTAGTATTAAATACTAAATATTGTGCACTTCAAAAGAGCAGGACCAATACAATGACCTCTGTAGTTGCAAAACGAAAAGGCTTCATAATAATATGGCCATATAACAAACTGTATGTTCGGTAAAGTTTTAGACCTTGATTTGTGTTATAGAAAATATAAAATATTGGTAATAGAAAGAGTTATCCTATACAATAAAAGATACCACAATTAGTGAACTACTACAACCAACCATTCACGTATCACTATCACATTCCTCCTTCAATTCAATCCAGCTAATGAATACACAGCACACAAAGAACTTCGGTAAAAGAAATGAAAATCACACATGTTAATGAAAACATGTAAAACAAAAATAAAGAAAATAAACTACCCTGTTTTCATTCTTTTTCAACATTTTCACACGCATTTTTTCCCTTTTTCCATAAACTAACGTGGTTGCCTTCGCATAAGAGTTCAAGTCGAGAATTGTTTTACATTTAACCAAACAGATAACAGCATGTAAGCCTGGCTGCATACGTTTTTTGGCTCCATAACAGTAGATAAAAAATGATGGCATTCAAGATGATAAAAGATAATATGGGGCTAGCTAGCAATATCATCCTATTTATTTTTCACAATTGACTTAGCTAGCAGCCAGAAGGGGATCCTCCTATAATATGAATAAAATCATGGTCATAGTAACGTATTTTTAATGTTTTTTCCCTTTTTCACCACATGTGTTAAAATAACTTTCAGCAGTAAATATACAAGCTCAAAATTGACTAGCCTCTTATACAAAAGAAGTGCCCAATCATTTCCCCTCAGTTAGCAAGAAACGCAGATCGCGGCGACAAGAATAAAACAAAAATTAACCTTCGATGGAATGGTCACTATTTCAGAGGAATTACACAAGTTCCAGTTTTAGAGATAATTAAATCATATAATGATAAGCTAATTATCAATTAACTCTACTTTCTAAAGCTTACTTGCAAAGAACATACATATACCTATACCCTACTGTATACACAAATCTACGAGAAAAGTAGATGTATAGATCAAAGATGTTAAAAACACACCGGGTTGCAATCAACAATTTATTAAACAAGCTTTAAATAATGTAATGTTAGTCGTAAAATGATAATAGAATTTTCCAACAGAGGAAAAGGAACTTAGTAAACTCAGTAAACTTTATCTTAAACCTCCCTTCCTTTCTCTTTCATTTTCTCGGTAGCGATCATATAGGCATAACAGCAAACAAAGGTCAATGGCAAAAACGTAAATAAAAACGGGAAAGGGGGGCGGAGTTCGGAATCTGGAAAAACTCACTCATCCTCAAACATGAGGCGTCTTTGGACAGCGTCCATGCCAGCGTCGGGAGCGTCACCCATGATAGCGGCGGCGGCGGCGGAAGCTTGGAAACGAAAAGACGGGGAAACCCTCAAGTGAGGGAATCGAAGGGGAGGGTGGGGAAAAGAGGAAGGGAGGTAAAGACGGGGAGTCGGAGAAGAGAAAGAGGAAGCAAGCGAACGAGAAAGTAAGAGAGCTGAGGAAGTATTTAAAAGCAAAGGCATTTAGTCTCTGCTCGCACTGTAATCGGCCAATTTGCTGGTCCTTGTCTTTCTTTTATTCATTTCTTTATTATGTTTATTTTAATATTATTATTTTGATTTCGGTTTTTACTAGAGCGTAAACAAATTGAGCTAAGCTAGAAATATTTGAATTCGATTAAAGTTAAGTTTAATCTTGCTTAAAATTTTACGGGTTTAAATTGTTTAAGTTCGACTCAAATTTAAAAAAAACTCTAACTCAAAATATTATCAGATGTAGCTCAATTGAAGCTCAAATTTGAACTCGATTTTAAATTTGATCCTTAAGTACATAAAAGTCTTATATTGTATTTTTTATATGAAAAAATAACATATAAATATTAATATTATTAATAATTAAATTTAAAAAATAATATATATATTTTTTGAGTTGTTCACGAGCTTTTCGAGTTAGATATCAAATAATTCGTATTGACTCATTAAGAATTTGAGAGAAGCCCAATTAATTTGAGTATTGACCGAACTGAATTTGAATAAATCTTGATTTATCTCATCTCATTTACATCCTTAGTTTTAACTAATAATAATCCTTTTTGCTTCATAAAAAATTAAAATAATTGCATTTCTTTAGGAAAAAACATTTTTAAATAGCATTTATAAATATTAAAAAATTAAGAAAATAAATTAAGTGTAATAAGATAAGACTTGATTATTTAGCTTACGTTCTCTTTGTTTTATTCATTGTTGATGATTAATCTCTTTTAATTTGAGTGGAAGATCATAATGAGAGAACATAAGAATAAAAGAGAATGAAATGGAGATTTCCATTTGAATCGTGATTAAGAAGTGTTAATAATAACTTTAGTTGATGTTGTTAGGCATAAAGTCATTATAGTTATTCGTAGGTCAGTAGATTAAATAGATTTGGTAATCAAATTTTTAGATTATATTATGATAGATCATATGATTCTGTCAGATATTATATTCGGATATTATAACTAATTCGAATATCATAGACTTTTTTAAGATTTATGGAAACGGAGATGTATATATGTAACTATATAATTGATATAGATATAACAATATTCAAAGATCATTTTTGGAAACATAACAAAATAATATACAAATAAAACTAAAGCTATATTTTTCCCGAGTTCTCTCCCTAATAATAGCATATATATATATATAATATAATTTTTGAAATTTATAAATTATTAAAAAGGAGTTTTATAATTTTAAAGTCTGAACTCGTAATTGTTTTTAGCATAATAGAAGCGATTCGTTATTAACAAGGATAAAATTAAAAGAATATTAGTATTTTTAAAGTTATTATTACCAATAAATATTATTGATTAAATGCAAAAAGAACCATTATCCTTTTAAAAACACATTAAATCAGATTTGTTTTATTTTTGGGCCGAAGTCGAAAAAACACGTGGCTGTGATAGGTGTCCGTTTGGCAGTTCTGAATCCAGAAATTTCCGGGAAAAAGGATCGGGTGGCGATGCCATTGGACAAATGTAAGAATCATGAAGATATACACGAAGTGGTCAATTTATTAATTAACAAAGAGTTGGATCCAATGTGGCTGCTGCTGCTGTCTTTCTCCCCTCACCGTATTCGGTTATTCCACATTTTGACCTATCCTATCCTTTCCCTTTTCAACGTTACATAATTTTCATTTTCTTTGGAGAAACATTACATATTTGTGGTTAAATTATATAAATACTAACTAAGCTATACATTTAGTACATGAATTATTATTTTTCTTTTATTTTACTCACTTAACTTTTTTCTTTTCAAAATCATATTTAACGTTTCGTTTTGGTCATCTGTCGTTAATAAAGTAAGGGTGATACTGACTTGTCACCATAAGGTAATTTCATATTATCGTTGAAAAAAATACCATGTTAGTAGTTCTGTTAATTTTTTAACAGTTGATGACCAAAACGTAATGTTATATATGATTTTGAAAAAAAATAAAAGAGCGAACAAAACGGGATAAAAGTGATCATTGGGGTACTGAATGTGTAATTTACCCTAAAATAGTTATGAAATGATCATTAAATTTATTAAATTATTACAAAATGATCGTTGTATATTATAAAATAGTGATAGTCTTTTATAATTTTATAGATCATTTTATAATAGTTTGATAAGTTTTAATGATCATTTTGTAATGATTACATAAAATTTAATGAATATTTTGTATAATTCTATGACCATTTTATATATTTTTTTTAAAAAAAACTAATGATAAAAATCATCTTAACATAATTTAGTGATCATATGTGTACTTTATCTTATAAATTTTAGATAAAAAATATTTAATTTTTTTAAATTTTGTAGGGTATATGTTTCTTTTATGATTAATTTGAACTTCATAATTGTTCCTCTTAGTAATGTTGTTTATATTTTTCAAAAGTTATTATATAAAGTGTAGAATTTGTTCATAGTTGTTTCTATTTTGTAGGGTCTATTTTGTAGAGGAAAAGAATCTTGCAGACTCGTAAAATAATCCTGTCTTGGCTTCAGTGCATTCTTGGAATGAATCCGAAAGGAATGATTTTAATCATTTTTTTGTCGAAATACTCTTATTTTTATGTGGGATGTTAAACCTAAGGTACAATCTTATATGTCTTTGTAAAAGGTAGTTGGATTATAATCTCTCACCATAAAAATAGTTGCATGCACAATAACGTAGTTATGAGAAATCCATCAATATGCATGTCACGTATCAAAAATGATAAGTCTATACTATAATTTGTAACTGGATATAGATAAGAGGGCATGAAATATATATAATGGGCTACAGTAATGTTTTAAAAAGCATAACTTAAGGGATAATTGAGCATTCCATGGTGCTGTAAGGATTTCATACAATCCTTTATTCCATTGGCTTGCAAAGGGATCTTTATGAGCCTCTTTATTAATGAAATAGAATTAGTAATTCCTTCTTTCTTAATGTACTATCTTAACAAGACGACTCTTTAATTATGCCATAGAAGATGATAAGGTGTTTATCGAAAGAATTTTAATTATTTGACAATGGATGTTTAAACATCTATGCAAACGTCATATTCAATCTCGATATCTCTAACGATAACAACCATCCCTTAATTATTAATATCGTTTGGTTGGTGTCAATGTTAAATATGTTTAAATAGTGTTTATTATAAATTTGTGGAGTCATGGTTGGCGGCCATTAGTTAATAAGAACAATTGAAAAAGTCAATTCTGGCAGTCGAGATAGAGTCAGTTTGATAGTTGTATAATTAATTCAAAATGTAATCAAAATTGAAATTTTTACATAATAGCTGCTGCTGCGCCTGCCCCTGCCCCTAATTTCCCACTTTCTTTCAACAGTCAAACAGTACCAAGTATTAAGTAAAGCCGCCACAAGTCCAACTCAAATTAAAACACTTATTTCTACAATTAAACACGTTCAAAGGTAGACTTACCGATTCAGGTCTGAAATTAAATAAGAGATTTTTTTATTTATAAATCTGAATTGAAACATTTTGACAACGAAAGTTTAATCTGAATAAATTTGGATGAACTATTTACGAATATGAAAAGTTGGATAAAATTTAATGCACATATTTCATATTAAATTAAACTTAAAATTAGGTGCGTGCATTCGGATATCGGATATTTTCCAGTCTAAAATTTTGGATATCCGAAAATATAAATCACTAAAATTACGATCTGTATCTGATCCGAAAAAATCAGATATCTAAATTTTTGGATGTCTAAATTTTCAAATTGAATATCCGAATCCAAACTGAACATAAAAATTAATTTAACAAAAATTAAATACATTGACATTTCTTCATTTTCCAACTACAACCTTATTTATGTTACGTAAATTATGCTATTCCGTGCCCAACTGTCATCTCCTTATTATTTCTTATTTATTTATCTGCCATACACTCATGTAAAGGAAACACACCCAAACAATTTAAAGGGACTATATAATCAATTTTCTTCTATAAAACTTATAAGATATTCTTGAAATTAAGAGACGTATGTTAATAGATAATCTCATAACTCATAAGACTAGATAATCGCTTTTGGACACCAACAAATATACCCAAGTTACACTACTATAACGATTGATGAGACTTAAAAAAGCAGCCCATATTTTAAACTAAATGGGCAGCTCACGGCTGGGCGCTAGAGTGGGCTTAGATGGGTAAGTTCTTCTAAAGATCCAGTTTTTTTAATCGGATTTTCGGATATTTTGAAAATAATTTTTTTATCGATATGTATCTGATCTGAAAATTTATTTTTCGGATATATAATCCCAATTATTCAAAAATCAAAAATGAATCGGATTTTTTACACACCCCTACTTAAAACTATAATAAAATATGTTAACACCATTTGATATGGGTATTATCGGGGCTAGATATGTATTAGGTTTGTAGTTGATCTATATGAAACTCATATTTTTTAGAGATATTTAAGAAATCTAGTGTCTTATCCCACTAGATTAATTAATTATTTGATTGAATTTTTTTTCTTCATTCAAACAAGGGTTTTGATACCTTGATGTAGTACGTAAACATTTCTGATTGATTAGTCTATGATATGTGGATGACAAGAGTGGCGGATGCAAAGGTTATTTAGAGCGGGTAATTTGAAATTTTTATGTTTGTTGTTAGTTTTACTGGTGGTACTCACGTTAAAATTTTATTTGTATTTATTTTATATAAAAAAATATATTCTATATATACGCCCTTCAAAATATTTCAGGATTTGTCAGTTTATGATAAATTGTTTTTTTTATTATTTTACCACTTAACCCTTTTTGTATTGGAATGACTTTGGTGTTATGAGATTTAATAGTTGGATGAAGTATTGGATCGTCACGACATCTAACAAAACATTATCCTCACGAGGAATGTAGTTCCATTGAACATAATGTTTCTTGGACAATGTGTCTTGTTAGTTGTTACCTCTTGAGTGTTTTTATTATTATTAATAGTCTGAGTGAATATAAGACAATAATTATTCAAAACTTTCAATTATATGACATTAAACATTCATAAATTATTGCAT